GATAGTGATAGTGATAGTGATAGTGATAGTGATAGTGATAGTGATAGTGATAGATAGATAGTGATAGATAGATAGATAGATAGCACTTTTCTTGCCTCGGACGGGCTGCTGGGAACGGTGAGACACGTCAGCGTGCACGCAAAATGGCCAAGCATGCACGACCGGGCAATTTACATTCGTTGTTGGACTTCAATCAAGCAAGCTATACAGATGGTATTGACTGGACCAGCAAAGCACGTAAAACATACCCTAGTCTATATAGTGGCTGGAGGTTTTGTGACGGAATTTGGTCGCAACAGTACTTGTCCGAAAGATTCTGTCGTAATTCTTTTGACGGATTTTGCTTGCAACAGTACTTGTCCGAAAGATTTTGTCGTAATTTTTATGACGGATTTTGGTTGCAAAAGTACTTGATGATTGCTTCCAAGTGGAACTGGTTGGATGTATTGGGGCAAGTATGGTAGCTGGTTGGCAGCGACAAGTCACTATCAGAAAAGGGGCCCGTGTAGATAGCAACTTGGTGGGGTGAAGAGCTTGCTGTTTAAGGATTGGTTATAGTCACGGATCTATGCCATATTTTTGGATCACGGTTGGTGACACCAATGCTGAGACATATAGTTCCTGCCATCCTCCTAGTCATCCTGTCAGAGAAGTCTGGTTGGATGCATTGGGGCAAGTATGGTAGTTGGTTGGCAGCGACAAGTTGCTATCAGAAAAGGACCCCCTGTAGATAGCAACTTCTCTGTGTTTTATGTTTCTGTCCTTTATGGCTCTGTGTCTCTATGTCTCTATGGTTCTGTGTCTCTATGTCTCTGGGAAGAGAGGTGTAGCTGCGACGTATGGTTATATTTTGGGCGGATCAGTGGCATAAACCCAAGGAAAGTCCCCAACAGCACGAAGCGCCACTCGGAAAATCTCTTCGCTGTCCACACCCTCCTTTGGAGCTTTGTCTGCTTTGGAACCTGCTCCCGAACCTTCTCCAGAACCTCCTCATGGACCTGCCCCGGTACCTTCTCCCGAACCTTCTCTGGATGCAGCTGCCACAACGATCCCCGACCTCAGCCCTGCAGCCTGCATTTTGTCAGCACGTTCACCACGAGCAAACCTCATTCGCTCTCGGGCGTGTGGATCCTGTTCTTCATTCTCAGCTCGCAGGGCATCATACAAGGACTTGAAGTGATTCATCTTCTGGTCCTTGGCACGCACATCAATGTGAATCTCCACGATCAAGCAGAAGTGTGCGTTCAAAAATCGGTGCCACTGACGAATCTGATCATGTGTGACGTTCTCACACGTGGAGGACAACGTGAGCTTCAAGTAGTCCTCACGTCGAACATCAGGGCGACAATGTCGAATCACGTGACCTCGCATCTGCGAAGACAGTTGGTTGGACCACAGAAGGGCATGAATCTCACGCCACTCTTGTCCATCTTCTAAAGCTTCATCATAGCGTCTCTTCCATCGATTCAGCGCCTCATATTTACACGAACCAGCTCATCATCACATTCCGTCTCATTGTCATCCACCGCCATGCCATGAGTCGCAAGTCCAGCGTCCAATGCCGAGTCCGATGTCTCAGCAGGGCCATGGCTCAAACCGATGGACGATCGAAAAGCTAAGGCGCAAAGGAACTCATACACAGTCACAAAGAAGCTCTTGATCTTGTGGGCATACTGGGTGACAGCATTCTTCAATACTCACAAAGAACCCACGGCACCAAGCAAAGCAAAACACAAAACGACCAGCATGGTATTCGCAAAAAAACGGGTCAAACACATGGTCACTCTCGGATGTGTAACTTGCTTCTGCTCCTTCGATGCTTTCTGCTGCTAGGACTGCCAAGGCACAAGTTGCTGCTTTGCGCCATTCATCTCCTCCTTGTCCTTTGCGGTGCAAATGAAGGTAAAAATGACGACGGCTGCAGTAGTGGTTCGAATCGGCTTTCTTGTCTTTCTCTTTCTGGCATCCAGGAAGTCGACACAGGTTCAACCTCTCCTTCTTGTCGTGGTCCTTTGCCAAGAGAAATTGCCCCTCAAACAAAGACTCGGCAGCCTTCTCATACTCCGCATTCTCCTTGTCTCTCTCGCTCTGAGTGACTTTCTTGGCTGCCACGAAGTTGGGGTCATAGCGAAGGGCATGAACTCCTCTGGACAATGTATATGCCAGTGAATCTCGAGCACTCGTCTTTGTGAGTCCATCTGCAAGCTGTTGTGTCGAGTTCACCCAGCGAAAGTTGCCCATGACGGCATTCAACCACTCCTTCAGGATGCAAATCTCGATTGCTGTGCGACGCTCAGACAGTTTCAAGCCAGGAGTCACCGACAAAGTGCTGTCGAACAGAGCCTTCGCGTCGGTGATGATGGGAGACTCCTGAAACAAATGCATTGTTCTGTCTTCATGGATGGCCCCATAGGGGTTGACCATCGCGGCATAGAACACCTTGGCCCACTCCAATTCGTCCACTGCAATCGTTGCAGACCGTGCTTCTGCCGAAAGCGAGCTCCTGCACATTCGCACCAATTTCTTGCTTGCCCAATCGATCCATGCCACCTTGCGAGCTCCCATCTGGCCTCACTGACCATGCCGCATCACAATACACGCCCAGTCGAAGATCTGCCAAGTCACCATGCCGACGGATCTTGAACACATAGGTCTTCACTGCTTCTTTCAAGAACCTGAGGCATTTGTTGGCTTCGAGCATGTCCTTGACGGCGGGCTTGTTGATGTGAGCTTGCAACAAGCTGATTGTTGCAGCGGCTTGAGGAACACATTGGGTCACAGGCCAAGACATAGCGCCAACCAATGCTCTTAGCTGTCGATATTCCTTCTCCGTGCATAGGTCCTCAGTCATGATGGTCTTTCTGGCCTTTTCCTTTTCCAATGTCAAAGGCTTGATCTTGTTGACATACTCTTGCAGGGGAGACTGAAATCAATTCCAGGTCTTCTGACTGCTGAACCTCTGAACCACAGAAGCGCATCTTGTCTCCAAAATCCCAGGATCCAAAACGAAAACGCTTGGACAACTGATGCAACCGGTGTTGGAAACAATCAAATGCTCCTGCTGGGTCATGCTTCACGTCCTGCAATGAAAATACCTGCT